ATGGATGAAATAATAAATGTTATATTATTATTATTTATTTTTGGGAGGGGGGCATAAATTATATGCCCGGGAGCGTCAAATTTTTAAATATGGGCCTGTATACAACAATGTTGTATCGATGACATGAAAATCGACTAAAATACACATCCTCCCTAGGGTCCCCACAAGGGGGGGGCTGATGAATACAGGGGCCCGACTATTTTAAGGGCCCGTGGACCCGTTGAAATTTATTTGTTATTTTTGAAATTTTAGAAGAAATATTTATTTTAAATTTAATAATATTGTAAAATAACATTATATATATATATATATTTAGTTATTTTGATAGTTCAAAATTCGGATTAACCAATGATTACCTAGAAATTAATGGATGGATTGGCTTCAACAATCAATTTTGATGATATCATTACTGAATTTGTTGAGCTCAAAGCCCGCAAAATAAAATTTCAACTTAAAAAAAATGTATTAAATATGAATTAAAATATACTTGTTTTTTTTTTTTTAATTTAATTAGTATTCTAATAAAAAAATAAAATAGACATTATTAATGTTGAAATGCTTATGAATCTTGAATTTGAATTGGTATAATAAAAAAACAAATATTATTCCTAAAATCGTTATATATATGTAAATAATAAATTGTATTTTTGGAAGTTTTATAAAAGGCCAGTACAAACCTTTAGTATAGGGGTCCGAAATTGTATGTGGGGGCCCTGATCCTCCCAAATAGCTATTCTTCTTATAAACAGTGCTCAATAAATGTATAAAATATATGTTAAATACGTCTAAACGTCCAATTTTATTTGTACTTATTAGTTTTTTTTTTTACTTAATAACAACAATAAGCAAGTTACAAGTCATATAGGATACATCGTTTACTAGAAAGAAAAAAATAATGATCGAAACAATTTTATACAATATAACCAGTGGCGTAGATACAATTATTTTCTGGGGCGGTGTTTAAGAGTAAGTTTTTAAGTGTTCTTAGTATATCTTAAAACGAGATCATATGTAATAATATTACATTTAAAATGGTATTATTATTGAGTCCTCGTATTTAATGAAAATTATTTTGTTACTCAATTTTTAATACACCTATACCTAATCATAGTAAAATCAAAATATGTTACTATAATATGTAAATATTCATAAACAATAATCAAATATCATTAAAAAAAAATCTGTGTGGAGTGGAAACCCTTTGCACCCTCCCCGTAACTACGCCACTGAATATAACTATATTTTTATAATACACTGTTGAGATAACTTTTGTAAATCTAACATTTTTTGCCGTTTTTATATCCGAACCGGCTTAAATACGTTATCGTATCTTATGGCGACAACGCATAAATAAAAATTAATATCTTTACAATATTTGAACGCTTTCTTTTTGTACATTTTTTTTTCACATCGAAATAGTAATTGTTCTAATATTAGATAATAAAATATCTCCTGAGTGAGTTTGGACAATTCGGTTCGTATAAACAAATTAAATAATAAAATGTAAAAATTATAAATTTCCCAATAGGTACTTTTACTGTCACGATAAGATATGTCTTATAAGGAGTATGGAAACATGGTTACCAGAATATCGTGTTATAAAAAAAAAAGACATATGTAATTTTATTACTGCACATTTGAGAGCACCAAGCAGAATTCCTACACGTTTTCGATTTTTTTCCTAAAAACAGGATCACGGAGCAAAAAATCCTGAAATGAAATTATACTTTATCGAAACGCTGTGCATGTATTCGAGGTTAAAAACGTAGAACGTACGCATTGCCCTATCTGGCTTCACTCGCAACAGTACGACGCATAATGATGCCACAAGAATTACATTTTATTTTTTTATTTTTTCTGTTTGATTTTTCTTCGTGTACGCACGTTTTGTTGGCACTCTGTTGTATTAATAATGCGAACGACGAATACAATATCTGCACCTCTTGTGTAGATTGCGTCGCGTACTGCTTTCCCCCGATTATCGCGCTATCCTCTCAACTGATTTATTGTTGAACTTACGCTTTACAACTTTACTAAAACTAAAACTGTCATTTTTCGTTTACGCGTAACTGTATTCTATATTCACCTACTATCGGTTCTACGATTTTACCTGCACAATGACCTGATCGTACGTTTTTTGCAATTAATTTTTTGTCGATCAAAACCGTACGTTTATGATACAGATTAGGTTCGCGTTTTGATACTCGTGAACAATAACTATGGCGATAGACGATTTTCTTAGATTATACAGAGGAAAAAACTCCATCCCACTTGATGTGCGCACAACGTGAATTGTAAATGAATTAATTAACGTATTGTTTAAATGCACGTACGAATAGATGTCGCAATTCACCTGTATGTTCTACGATGAGTAAGTTCTACGTAAGTATTACGTTCGTACTGTGAGTTCCATGACAAACTTGATGCGATCATCATAATATAAGTATGTATAACATTTATTAAGTGCAGATTTTCGGGTTAATATATTACGTACAATGAACTATGAAAAAATAGTGGATTTGAACAATTGTACAAATAATCAGTATTTGGGTAAGGAACATTAATGATTTCGTATTTCAGACGGGTACCTATAGATAATTGTATAACGTACTTGACTGAATTAGTCTAACATCTAAAGTATTCAATGAATAATATTCATTAAAAAAAAAAAAGAAATTAAGTTTGTAAAGTCAGAGGCCATCAGTGTGTATAATATTTTTTCTTTTATACTTGAGTGTAAGTATTTTTCTCCAGATAAACCATTGATTATCTACCGTAGAAAGAAATATGATGGTCTTAAATAGTCATAGATAATAGAATAACTTTATTATTTATATGGTTATTGTAGGATATCACTAGATAAATTATAATTGATATTTATCATATATAAAACATACTAAAATTTAAATATTTTGTACAGACATTTTTTATTGAAACAAATGAAATTAAAATAATTACATGATCAAAGGAATTTTCGTTTATTCACATTTTCATGTGATAAATGCATTATAAAGGAGCAGCTATTATAGAAATGTTCATGTTATTTTCCTGAGAATAAATTTCTATCGGTTACACTAAATATCGATTAAAATTACATATACTTGAGTAGATGGCGCTCTATTCCGAAACAAACATTTACATATTATTAAATAAAAATTGCTCAGAATCTAAAATTAAAAAAAAACAAAATTAGATCTTTAATATGAGATTTTTAAGGCGCGTAATAATGGAACGTGTTTTGATTACATTTTAAAATATCTATAATTATTATTCATTACACGATGAAGTGTTTGAGTATTATTGAAACCATAATCACTATTCATTATCGAAAAAATGTAATACTAATTATTGAAATATTCCAAGAATTTGATTATGTTCATGATATGCTGAAAATAAAAATACTTTTAAAACATTAAACCGGGCTATATATACGTTTTATGGTAACTTTTGATTTTTGAATTTTGTTAACACTTTAATATTATTAATAATTTTTATTTTAAGCGAGGTGGTTAACAATCGTATTAGTATCTAGTATCACGTATGAGTAATGACGAAATGTAATCGCTGCTAATAATACGTCAATGTTATTGCTCAATAATTAATAACAATTATTGTTAATAAATCATCAGAACAAACGGCATGATATTTAAATTTATAAATTAATAACAATTATAACTCATGTAAAGTTATTAACGTACACACACTTATCAGTCAACATAAAAACGCATCAAGACAAAACAAAACTTGATCGGTCTGGTTCTAATTTTGCTCTGAGCAAAATATGAAAAACAAAATTCATTGTTTAATTTTCAAGAATAGTATAAAAGCACAATGCACGTTATTTTCGTATCGATCAAGACATTTGAATTTATTTGTATTATTTTCTATATGTTTTTTATTTATCTCGTGTACCCAAATTTTACGATTCATATTGCCATTTATTTCACTATTTAACAAAAAAGTGCCATCAAATCGATACCTATAACAATATCGTCTAGGTCAGAATGATGTTTGGTGTTATAACAAATATGAATTTTAAATTAATACGTGTTTATTCTGTTTTATTTTTTTGTCAGTGTGAATGGAATTTGTTCCGAGCAACTCTGAGCAGTTTTGGTTTTTCAGAGTGGGCTGGGTCTAAGGAAATTGCAGCATTTATTGCAGTATTTTTCATACATTTTAGACCAATTAGCGGTGTTAAATTTCACATACTTCCGATTTTAATTTTTAATATACGTATGAATTCTTTAAAAAAATATGTAGGCTTCTTATGAAGTCGCTTTTAATTAAAAAGAACCTAAAAATTAAGGTATTTTTTAAAAATCCTATGAAATAAATGCATTACATTTGTATTCATTCTGAGCATTTTAAATCGAAAAAATGATTCCTAAAAAGCATAATGTAGAAATTTATGAATTCAACCATTTTTTTCGAACTTACATCTGGAAGTATATGTGCAAATAGTGTTTAGAATTTGGGGAGCTGATGCTTAGAGCTACACTGTATGCTTTTACGACATAACAAAACATGTAATGAAATCATAAGTTTTTTTATGTATGTGTGTGTGTGTGTGTGTGTGTGTGTGGAAGGGGGGGGCTATAACAATTTTACTAGGGGCTCATTCATCACATTAATGATTGTTAAAATGTTCATTTTTTTCTACTTTCTAATCACATACACTTCGTAATAGTACCAATCAGAGTTGGACTAGCTCTATAGCACGGCCTGGACAAATTATTTCGAACGGAAGTTTATAAGTTGGTACCTAATCAAATGTTTATTAGCAAAAAATGTACTTTCGTAACTCAAAAAACTATATATACATTGGTACATTTGAATATTTTCAGATTTAATGTTAAACCTTAAATAAATTAAGTTTTCATAATTGTTAATGTACAAAAAAATTAATAAAATAACGTAATTATGTATTTTGTATTATTAGGATGTCATAAGGAATCTATAGAAATATTAACTTAAAAATGTAGTAAATTCACTACTATATTATATATTTAGTGTATTTAGTATACATTATATAGTAATTAGTTAAAAATTGTATAATAATATGGCTCACAACATTTTAATAAACTGGGTTCGGCCGTTTCGCAATCCACGATTTGATTTGAGGAACAGCTAACACTCTTTGTTTAAGTAATGTTAAATGAGGGTGGCCCTCAATCAAGTCAACTTTGGTTACGTGTTGGATTGTATCCAAAATAGATACAAAGTATAAGTCAGACCAAGATAACTAAAACAAAAACAAAAAAATGTTATGAAATATTTCATTGTATGATTGATAACAGTTCGTTGTTTTATGTATTAATAAATCCAAATATCCGTAGAGATTTTTAATTTAACCATTACATTAACAGTATGTTTACTGATGTATACTCGTAGAATTGTTTAGATAGATACATGATATAAGATATTTTATTTTTTGCACGGAATGATCACGGAATTAATGATCTTATGGGCATTATAAATTAGATATAATTTAAGTACCTAAGTTTAGGTACGTCATGTGATGCTATTACACAAGTAAATCGATCTGACACTATATAATTATTAATAAAAATATGAACGAAAAACACATACCTTTCCATTTACAAAGTAACCGTCATTTTCAGAAATAATTTTCTCAAATCTCTCCACGTAGAATGGAATAGTCTCATTAACAATAGTAATGATCTGTTTGGACTTGATATCCTCGTTTTTTTCGTGAAAATAATTTATAATAACTATAAAAAATATATTTATTTTAAGAATTAGGTCGCTGCACTACAGAGTGACCCAGAATATGTTAGAGATATCCTCGAATAATAATTTTTATTTTGTTTTATTGATTTTGTGTAATTTTGTAGATGGTGTTTACATGAAGAACGTAATATGAAATTATTATTTTCATCGCCTAATCGGCTTAGAAAAATAACTATTGACATTTTAATTTTTATCAAATTGCAAAACTGTGTTATATTAGTTATTATGAAAATATTAAAGTATCGTAATTATGGTTTTCATGTGGCTCCTGTTTGTAAAATGATACAAAAAAAAAAAAAAAAAATTGGAAAAATGTAATATTCATCCAGAAATTTTCATCTGGAAAGGATACAGGAACAACATTTTATTGTAAACTATGCGAGCACAAAAAAAATAAATAAATATAGATCCGTAGAAAAAATGGTAGGTGTGCCGAATCATTTATTAGTTATATTTACTAAAATATTAAATCCTGCATTCATAATTAATTATTCACTGCATTATAAGAATTAATTTTACCTTGTCTCATTTCATTGATGTTATCTACTGCTATATCAATCAATAACGATTCCCATTCATCCTTTCCCGCTAGACCCGCCTTTTTCGCCAAGTATCGGCTAATAGACAGAGACTGATTGAGTTCCTTCCCATCGATTTCTAGCAACGGTAATTGGCCAAACGGTGTCGCTATTGAAAAAATAATAATAATGATTTTAAACCATATAGCAGTGTGTGTATTAGCCATGTTCTGTATAAAAATAATATCAATATACTTATTATAATTTAATTGCTAAATATCGAATTTTTTTTAGTAAAAATATGGATATTTGATATATTATTAATTAAATGTTACTTTTTTTAAGTCAAAAAGGAATGGACAATAGGGTGAATTGTGGAGATTTGGATTTTTTTTTTTTTTGTTGATTGGTACTGAGAAAAAATTAATTTTCCTGCAATTAATTTAATTAAAAAAATGTTAATTTAATTTCCGTAGTAATTTTGAGACAATCTGGTTAGGACAGAGAAGAAAATATCAGTGATACATCAATATTATCGTACGTTTTAATTATCAAATTATATCGATATACCAAACCCATGCCGGGTGTGTAGATCACCGGTCCAGAGTGCAGACGCTTACGTAGGTACATTGATTATCAATGTATAAATAATATTTATAATCAGGATTAGAAAGCGAATGCCTTATTGAACCCAAAAAATTCCATTGAATAAACTCTAAAAAAATTCTCTACAAAATCTGAATAATGTACTCACACAATATTTTTCATTTAATAATTTTGGTATAAATTATATTTTATAGAGTCGATAAAAAAACTGTTTGGTTTGGTTTTAATATTACTATTGCCTGATAATAATATTATACAAGTAGGTACAATACAAAAGTCACGTAATCGAGTAAACATTTTAAAATACAATTTAAAATGAAAATGTTGGATCTAAAAACACTACAAAAATGCTCTAAAAAAAAATGTAGAATAATACCTTGAAGTCAAAATAGACAAGGCAAACTTTTGTCCAGGAAATCTTATTTAAAAGTATATGAAACGAATTTAAGACAATAACTACGAGCATCGCGCAGTAAGCTTTAGAAAACAATGCAAAGTACGTTGAACCGCCTATGACTGTAAACGTTGAGTAACAGTGCAACACCAATGTCTATTATTATTTATATTATAATAAAACAAATTATAAAATAATATTATTTATTCTTTAAGTGTGGATGTGTGCCTATTGTGTGATAGTGTAAATGTAATATATTACTCAATTACATATTACATTATAAATGAGAAGACAGTCGAATGCTTTTATTTTTTTTTTCAAAAAAAAGTTAAAGAAACTGATCAAGAAAACAGCTTGTCAAAATGTGATTCAGATCAAGACCAACCTAGCAAAGAACATGTGGTAATTAAATTGAAATATTTTTTGAAATAATCTAAATGTTCATACATTTATGTATTTCTTATTTCTGTGTAATTATTATGGCGTACCCATGTTCATAAATTTAAAAATCAATAACACAAGGATATTTTCTTAGGAAAACCATAAAGAATTAGATCAATCTACATAAATGATTTCTGTGGAACAACCTGTAAATACAAAGTTAAGAAAAGTTAATGATTAAAAATTGATATTTTTAATTCTTAAGTTTATTTGTATATTTTGATTTTAATATTGCTACTATTTGGTTATTTGATTGTATGCAAATATGCAATAATATACTATTACTATATGCATTATTCTTCTTACATTTTAAAATTAAATGCTTAATTAGCAATGCACAGTACCATCAAAATGATATAGGTTTATTTGTTCATAAACATGCTTTGGCTGATGAAGATAAATATCTTGTAAGTAACCTATACTATGATACTTGTTAGGTATATACTATACATTAATTTAATTTTTTTCATAATACTTGGGTAATTAAAAAATTTAACTGTTAAGGATATTTTTTTATTTATTCATATTTCAACATTTCTACTTTAAAAAGAGTAAAAACTTATCTCAGAAACATAATGGGTCAGATAATAATAATAAATAAATAATAATAATCATTTTTTTTGTAAATTACATAATAATTATGAACTTTTACTAATTTAAATACTTAATAGAAGTGCTTGAATGGACTTGCTATGTTATTAGTGCATCGGGACATTTAGTTGAACCCCAATGACGTAGGTACTAGATATTTTGGTGAAAAAAAGAAAAAGAAAAATTGAATTAGGTAATATTATAATTTATGAAAAATATATTTAGTTTAATTTAATTGTTTACTTTATTGTCTTTAAAAATCATCATTATACCATTTGCCTCATTTAATTTATAATAATAAAATAATATAATATTGAGATATATAAGATTTAATGGTTATGGAGGGTGTGGGAGGTTATAGCCCCACTAGAACGATAGTATAAATCTACATCCCAATCCCATCCCACAACCAATTTCAAATTACGCCACTGAACGAATATGTTGTGAGTAAAGTACGACAAGTTTCGGTAGTATTCCGATTGAACTCACTCGGTTTGATCGACGGCCATTGTTCGCGTTCGATGCGCCGGTCCTCGAAGTCGACGTTCATGTACGAGAAGAGGAATCTGATTATTTCGGCACGACCTTTAACGTCGAAGTATGTTAATTTGTAAGTCATGTCTCAAGCGGAGCTGCGTTATCGGTGCGGAGGAATGAAGAGTGAAAAAAAAAAATGAACCACGAACAGTGTCCGGCTATAGCAACGTTAACGCCGGTGCCACGAAACGTATGAGAAAAGAAAGTGGACGAACTACAGGCGATCGTCGCGACCGCGTTATTACACTCCCGTACTACTGCGGACTATAAAAATGACTAGGTTGTGCGAGCGTCCTCGGTGCACAGTGTAAAATATCTGTGTACGTCACAGATAACGTTTTACGATGTTGGTGACCAAAGTGCAGTCGCACGCAACTTACGCGATTATGTTCAACTAGTTTCGAGCGGTGTTATGACAATTTCTACAGCGGCAGACGATGCACGAGCGAGCGAACATAATAATATGTATAATTGTTACAACCGTTTATCGCGCGCGTGCACTTCAAATGGTTTACCGTGCGCGCTGGAGCTCTGCACAGGCCTGATTTTTAAAGCCCGTCCAGCCCAGTTCGTCTCGATGAAAAATTGGCCTAATATTGGTTTTCTCCTAAAATTCATTTTGTTAAATTTTCATCGTGTGTTAAAACGTAGATTTTTAAAAATGTTCAGTTGAACACATTCAATGTTATTTTGAATTAAAATTAAAATTTAGTATTTTTAAACGAGTATATTTATTTTTTATTTTTATAACGAATCACAATGAATTACGAATATTTATTTACATTTATTTCCGATAGTCTGTATCTAATTGAAATATGATCGTAACCTCGGTCCGACCCGAACAACTCATAAGTACGTAACTGGGCCGAGAAAATAAAATAACTCATTAAAATGTACGAAGATGATTTAGATTGCATCAAATCAGATACAGTTGAAGAAATAAAAACTTGACAGTATACATTTGGAAAAAAAGTTTTTTCAAAATTGTCCTAGATATTTTTCAACGATGTAAATGAGAATATATTTTCATCAACTTTTAAATTGCTTCAAATCTTAGCAACTATTTCGGTTACTATGATAAACAGTGAAAGGTGTTTTTCAAAAAAAAAAAAAAAATGTTGCATTTAAGGAACACAACTTATACAAATAAATTTGGCGATTTTGAATAGTAATATGATAGGAAAAAAATACTAGTCAGATAGCATTTTAAATAAACAAGCCATCAAAATAAGAAAAATGTTTGTTGTGAAATAAAAATCAATACTTTAGTTTTGTTTTTAGTATTAATTGGTAGTGTAACTAATGGTAAACAAATTTTTTAAAAAAAAAAAGAAAACTAATAACACATATAAATATTTTTTTTTTACATATACTATTGAATCTGCACGATACTTAATTAATGTAAAAGAAACTTAGTTAAATATATAATTCAATTGAGCAATAAATAAAAGAAAAAAATTGAAAAATAAAGTTTAATTATGATTTAAAACCAAAAAATGAATAGCATGATTGGTAATTTCATACACAATATAAATTGATTATTTTGCTAGGAAAAAATATTCATAGATAAGTAAATTATACAGATTGGATTGTTGCATGCCAACCGTTTGATTGTATTTCAGTAACTCGCTCAGTTTATTCATCGCTTGGATGTAGGTAATATGATGAAATAATTAATACTCTATGATTGGTTGGTTTATTAAACTTTTAAAATTATTCTAAGTACAATAAATTAAATTAGCTGTTAAAATTCTAAGTTCTGACAATTAAACTATTAAAATAATTCTAACTCCAAACTGTGACATACACTAGCACGAAAGTGCTCAGTGTCATATAGCAAGAACTCGTCTGATTTGTCCTTGTTTTTGGATACATTTTATATCCGATGGATGTAAGTGTGTGTGTGTGTATAATGTGATGATGTGTACATACAGTTCAATTTATCTCACAAATGTGATTATTTGAATAATCTTTCCTTGTTAGATGACATTTGTGTGAAAATATGAATGTGGTTATTTTAACAATCAATAATTATTTATGTGTTTCCTTGTTTGAACTTTGTGTAGTGTATGATGTTTGATAGATGTGGTTTTTAATATTCATAAGAGTTAATTTATGATATGTATCGTTGTAAACTCATGCATACCTATAAGCAATACAGGGTGATTATGGTATTATTGTTATCTACATACATGGGATGCCACAGGATCATCCAAAAAATTAAATTACTAATGATCACAGAGGCGTTTCTTCTTATTCAATTATTTCTACAATCTCCTATATGCTCTATATTTTGTGGATATCAATTTTGAGTACAACAATTGTATTAATAAGTTAGATTACACATTCCTCATTTATACTTTGAATTGATGTCCGTAGATCATGGATAGATTTGAGATTTGTAGTATATAAATATCATCATATGGATTAATAGATTTATTCATGTCACCAGTATCATTTTTAGTACAGATTCTGAAATAAAGAATATAGAATTAGAATTATGACAAATAAAAGTAATATTATCATCAGTGGTGTGGAAAATAGATTACATATTAAAATTTTATTTAGTATTAGTAAAGCAAAAAATACTTAATCTGAAGTACACCACCAATCAAATCATTCCAAAAAGGTTGAAATAATATGAGAAAACACAAATTTTGCATCTCAGATAATCTAAATGCAAAAAGAATAATTATTTAACTAACACAAAATAAAATGGTTTCCAATAAAACAAAATGTGCCTGAAAAAGTAAATAATAAGTGATTAAAATCTTTTAAAATCAATTCTTGAAATTCTATTTCTTAAAATAGAATAAAAAAATTGAGATTAGTTTTGTTAACGGTCACATACACAAACACAATGATAATTCAATAATATTGGCTTTGGAAAAATATAAAACCAAAAATTAAAATTTGAATTAAATATTATTATAAGTGAATGGTATAATATTATGATTAGTGATATGTTTATTTTAAATTCAATTAAAAAAATTAACTAGGTAACTTTTTTTTTTAATTTAAATAATTTTTGTTTTACACTTTTACTTAAAATAATAGTACCTATGTATAGTCAAGACTAATGAATATTATTAACAATTTTTCAATAGTAAAACAATAAATATACTCACAAAGTCGCGAAACAAAGATAAATGTGAAAACCAATTATCTATTAACATTTTGTTGACATATTATATTATACAAACTACCAAAATAGAAACAATCTTTGTCTTATGATAACTTTACAATGAACCATAGAATATTTAAATGAGTTTAAAAGAATAAAAACAATAATCTCTTTTCTATGAATAAAAACGTCAGTAAAAAATTTAAAACATTTGATAAGTATATAATTTTATCACGAATGTAGATAACAATACATTTGTCTGCAACCCACATTGTTCAATCAGAGAGCAAGATAAAACTAAGACGTTATAATCAACTTTCAAAATTAATATTGACACCATTATTTTTGTATTTGAAGTTAACACAATTATATTTTCCTATACAATAAATATAAAATATTAACAAGGAGTTTTTGTTGCACTGCACAATTATTTTTTTCACTGCGCAAAATGTATCTTACTACACAATAAAAAAAACCAGGGATGTCATTTCAACTTTTGAAAGGGTGGGGCAACTGATTAAATTTGCTGACTTCATAATATTTAAAAAATTATGGTTATCTATATATTTCCCACACAGCATTGTAATATTATTAATATATTTTATGATTGTTTGACAAAATATATAGATATTTGATAAACATTTTCAGGTGGTGTTCAGTTGATATTTGAATATTTTCAAAATATTTTCAATATCTTTGAATGACCAATGAATTAACATTTTCAAAATATAAGATATCTATATTTCTAAAATATTGCAGTAATGTATTGTCAAAATATTACTTTTAGTGGTTTTAAAAATATTGTAGTAAAATATTTTTATATTATTTCTAGTTGAAGTTTTGAAAATATGGAATATTAATTATATGAATAGATTTTCAAAATATTTGTTGTATTAGTTTTGAAAATATTGTTTGTATTTGTGTTGACATTTTATTATTGTATTTTTTTACTTTAATATTATAATACAGTATTATATTATCTTAGCAACATATTAACTCATTAAATATTATAAACTCAGATACAATTTGGTAGTCATAAAAAAAAATATATATATATATATATATATTGTTACAATGATACATATTTAAATATGTATTAAAATAACTATTCATTATACATTTATGATAAATACTAACAAATATATTTTCAATATTCTTATATAATTTCATCAATATAAATCAAAAAATTTTATAAAATGTACACTATTACTTGTAATAAAACATAGGTAGTTATTATTATTCTTATAAATTATAATTCTAATACATTTTATAATAAATGACATTTTCTTAATGATAAAAAAGGATTCAAAATATTAATATAGCAATTTTTAACAAATTATAGCAATTTAAACTGTTAAATAACATATTATTACAAATCCTTTGTAAAGTTAAAAAAGAAACAATTAATATTATATTAATTCATATGTAACTGTAAATATACTAAACCTATATATAAGATTATGTATATAGTAACTGCCATAAAACACAATATTGTATAAAAAAAAAGGTTATAATAAAATTTTTTCACTTTTGTAATATTTCTAAAAAATTAAAATTAAAATTGTTTAACAAATTGTACCAATTGAAACTGTAAAATAATATATTATTACAACTAAATATTACTATTCCTTTGTAAAGTTAAAAAAAAAAAATCAATTAATATTATATTAATTCATACATAAACTGTAAATATACTAAACATATATATAATATATTATACATATATGTATGTATACCTATAGTAACTGCCTTAAAATATAATATTGTGTACAAAAAATTTTATAACTTAATCATGAAGATTTTTTTTCGTCAATTTTTTTAAGGCGAGCTGAAGCTTGTGCCATCCATGTCTTTAAAGGTTTTTCAATTTCTATATTTGCTATATCAGTAAATTTTTTCATTCTTCTTATGGACTCTAAAAACAGTTTCAAATTTTAATTTTCTACTATTTATATTATGAAGTACTTTTAGGATTTGTATTAGTTATAAAATAGCAGTATTATAAATAGTTATTATTCCGTGAATTATTAAATTTTAAATATTTTATATTTATATCTAGTACGAATAATACAAGTATAATCAGATTACATAGCTAGAAATAATTTATTATTGAAGTATGACTGTTATATTTTATTAACACAAAAAGTTATTGATTAAAAAACACATGATTAAAATGTTATCACTGATCGGTAATTGAGTTAATAAGTACTTTTATCCAATTATTATTATATTTGCCCTACAAGAATTATGGTTAATTTTGTTTACCTTAATTTGTATTATTCATAATCAATAAGACTGAGCCTTAAAAGATATCAATGCCCAAATTATACATTGGTCACAATTAAAATCAATGTGACAATTCTTATTTAGATATTTTATACAATTTATACATTAATAAAATATGAATTACCAAATATAACTGCACAAGTTTGTAGAGTTGAAAATTGTTTTTTTCCTTTAAACCCTATATAAGAGTAGAATGTAAGCAAAGTATCACTAAATAATTTTTGCATTATTTTTCGAACAGTTTCTGACAAATTTTGTCCCATTAATCTTGATAACTCTGTAACCTGTAAAAATCATATTACATAATTTTTATTTAATATTGTTAAATCTACAATATTTAATAATTACCATAGTTTTTCTGTATGTCAAATCAGACTTCATTTTATCTTCCATTTTCTCCAACTCTTCATCACTTTCCATAGGGGTTAAGAATTCTACATAATTACATTCTGTATAATCAATGGTTTGATTATTTAATAATTTATCTAATATTTTTTCTTGCATATTGAATATCAAATCAAGTCTTTCTTGTATATTCTTTATTTCATATTTTATGGTGACTTGATTTCTAGTTACAATTTGTTTGAAAGCTATACAAAGAACAAAAACTTCATTATACAGGTACCAAGGTATCAATATTATATAGTTATACATTAGAAATACATACCCTTAAGTTCATTTTTTATATCAGAAGTATTGTCAATTGTAGATAAATAACAATCAATATTTTGTGGTGTTGATTCTTGAAGCACTTGACTGGTATGCAATACTTGCGGCGTAGAATGAACTGATTTATTCATTTGTTTAGTTGAGTAATAATAATCTGCATTTAATTCACTATGATTAGAAGATGAACATTGTGAAAATATTTCTTGAGTCTGTATACCAATTGCAGCTGCAATAAACCTAGGTTTATTCATATGCAGATTAAAGGCTTCAATATCTGCAAAATAAAAACAAAATAGTAGAATATATATTAATATATATTGACATAATTAAGAAAAAGTTTGGTGTTAATTAAATTAAATAACATGAATACCAATATAACTAAGATAATTACATTTTTTTTTTTAAATCTATATGTACATTAATTGTAATAATTTTAATAATTATTATTACTTTCTAAGTCATCATCATTATATTGAAGCACGCTAGGAGGAGTTGGGAGTTTTGATTTTTTGAATGAAGATTCATCAGAACTAGGAGACCAACATATTTTCCTTCTCGTTTTCCTTTTTTTTTATCATCGTCATTCGATGATAATTCTGATGTTTCTTGTGCTCTTAAAAGTTTTGTACGAGCTTCAGAGAAACTTGCTGGAACAAATATTTCATTAAATTTTAGTATAAAAGTAAATTAATTTTTTTTTGTTCCTATAATATAATATATATTGTAGATAGATACTATATATAATATTTACCATTATTTTTAGATAAAGCTCATGCACTATAATTATCAAACTCTATTTCATTTGGAGAGATGCGTCTATTTATAAATTTCTTGACATTTAAAGTTTTTTTCGGCCAGGAACAAGAACCATTACTGTACCAAAAATCAGGTACTACGTCAACAGAATTATAAGATTCAAAGCATACAATAGTCCACATTTTTCTAAAAAATATATAAATGTATGAAAGTATTAAATATAGGTTTCAAAAAATAATATTTACTTAGGAACATAACCGCTATACATACGTTTTTAATAAAATACATTTACTTTTACATTTACAATTTGTTCATAAATATAATATAATAATAGACAAATATAAATGGAAAATTGTACAAATTAGTTTGCATATTTTAAATTAAAGAAGATGTATAAAAGTTATAATAATTATGTCAACAATTTTAGTTAGAAGAATAATATAATATAATATATATAATTTGAGATTGATACCTATAATTATATAAAAAATAAATCAACAATATAAAAAGTCCTTACATAGTTACATTTACAATTACTAATAAAATTAGTATAATATTTATTAAAATTTATTTACAATTAATTATTTATATTGTTATAGATTATGAATTATTGGCATTGCTATTAATTTATTTTCAAAGTTAAAAATAATGAGTTTTTTGTTTACAAAATCTTTATTCCATTGTTTTGTACTATCCGATAGATTATCCACAGTAAATATATTTAGTAATGAAGATTTCAATGGTACTACAAATAAATCTGCTTTATTAATAAAATACCGTCCAACAATTGTATCTCCTATAATATCTGTAATTTTAACCACGTAACCATCATATGTTAAACAAAAACAGTTTGATTCATTGGTACAAAATGTATTGTTTTTTAATTCATTAAGTTTCAGATGTTCACACTTTATTTGCTCTTCATATCGTTTTACAACTTGTTGTAACGGTTTTTCATGTTTTCGCAACATTCCTTTCAAATTCTTCATGTAGTTTTCAAAAGGGAATGCACTACAATTATCAAGTGGACCGTATTTAATGTAATCATCAGCTAAATGGAGAAGACCATGTACGTTATGTGAAATAAAATGACTTCCGTAAAGTTCTTGATAGTGTTTGACAAAATAATGTAAAAGTTGATTGGCATAATTCAGGTAATTACCATGATCAAGATTTAACATAATTCTCATTGAAATACTCAAAGTTAAAAAGTGTTGATAGCAGTCTTTTGATAGTATATTTTTTAGTATTACATGTCCAGAATATAAAAGAAATTGATGAAACTCTGTGGCTTTCCATCGAGCAACTTCTTCAATTCCTCTGGGTTTCCGTGGAAAATCATTTGTCACACATTTTTTAAATTGTAATAGAGATGTAGAAATTTTCTTAACCTTCCAACTTGGTAAACGAATATCAATTGGCCCTTTATTTAACCAGAGATTTATTAACTTGCGCATAACTCCTAAACATACTAGGTGCATATAATCCATTGAAAATAAACTAACTATATCGATATTTGGAATTAATGCTGAACAAGAAATGCTAGTAACATGATGCTCTTCATTTTTCATCGAAATATAATCTTCGTGTTTTCTTTGTTCATTGCCATTTTCAGTATATGGGAAACAAATACGGTGTTTGAGATATTCTCCTTCATGAGTACATCTGGTGCAAGAATGAAACCCAGCATGCCCTTTTACTCCCAACACAAAACTTTTAGCCGGTGCGTCACAACAAATAACTTCAATAACAACTACTTTTGTTTCATTACTTATGTTTATCCCAGTATGTGTTAGTTCTAATATCTCTGAAACTAAATCTTTTAAAAAATCATTACTATTATTTGGCTTTGTAGAACCATAAAATATTCCTACTGGAAAAACATGATTTCTATGGGGCAGAATATAGGCCAAAATTGGCCAAAACTGAGCAGAATTACTTTTTGTCAGTGGAAGTCCATCTATTCCAATAGCAATTTTAATAGCATTATTTGGAGAGACAATTATTGAAGAATACCTTAGAATACCTTCCCTTAAACCAAAATGGAAATATATTCCATTTGGATCTACTTCCCTTAAATTTAATACTTTTTTTGATCCAGAATCATTCAGAATCAAAAATATTTTACAATATTCTAAAACCAATATTTACAATGAAACCTAATTCAAATATATTGAAAATATTATTATTTTCAAAATGCTATGTGAGTTTAATATTTAATATTTATGGACTATCAATAAAATATTTTTTCGGAACAAAACATATAAGGATTAGTAATGAACAGGACTCGGAAGTTGTAGCACTAAAAATGTTACTTTTTAGCTCTTAAATATGCGCTATAAATAGCACGAAAAATCAAAAAATATGCATTTAACATGAAAAAATATAATTTTACAAATTGTTGGGCTCATTAAACACAGTCTGGACTGATTGAATTATAAACTGTTAACAAAAATGTTAAATTACTTAAATATATTTGTAAAAATGTACTTATTATTAAATTATTTTATATATTTACCTTGGAAATTATCCTAGATTATTAAAATGTTTGATAATCTAATGCAATGATATAACAAGGGGATAACAATGATGTCACTAACTATTAATACATCAAATTGTCGATGAAAACATAAAATAATATTTGGCAAGGTTTATTTATTTTCAATAATTAAAATATTTTTTTAAAACATAACCAAGTAAATACAATTATTATCAACAAAATGTGATTATTTCCTACATTATTTTAAAATATACCCGAAAATAGCGCTATAAACCCTAAGTTAGCAAAATAGCAATAAAACCCGTAAATATGCAAAAAATAGCAAAATTAAATTTTGTGTATGATATCCGAATAATGAGAAACATATTTGTATCTTACTTTGGATATTCTAAAATTAACCAAAAAAAATATGCATTTGCTAGAACTTCCGAGCCCTGGTAATGAATAAATTATGATAAACAAAGAACATGAAACGTTTCAATTTATCCAATTTAATAATAACAGGTTAAGTGACAAGACAAAAAATTTAGTTTTGAATATAGTGCCATGTAGGGTTTATTGACCCTTCGATGTAACTAGTAAATAGCTCCACGTAGGGTTTTAAAACTCGTCATACAGTACTTGTTTTTGTCGCCACGTAAGCAGGCACGTCGTTATGGGGGGGGGGCCTTAGGGGGTCTGGTCCCCTAAGAAAAATCAGTGGCCCCGAACTGGCCCCCCTTAATTTTGATTTTTAAATATTATGGTATTTAGTTGTCCCAAACCGGCTAAATCCTGAATGTATATTCCATATAGGCAACTGTAAGCTCCACTAGAATATCGGTTAAGATAAAAAGATAATAAAAGGTCTAGTGTAAACTCGGCTGTAGCCCATTTGCGCCCCGAGGGTTATGGACATTTGCACCCAAAATAAAAAACTTAACACCCTGATTTATAGCCCAAATGCGCCCATTTTGCATGCAACGTTGCCGTTGTTGTTTAAAAATATACAATTCTATGTAAAATCAAAATTAAAAAAAAGTAATAATTTTAAAAATAATGTTAAATACTAAACAGTATACATATTATATATACATATATATTATTTATATTGCATTAAATTATTAATTTCAAATAGAAACATTTTTACGTAAAATCAAAATAATTAATAAATACAATTACAATAATATCACATATACATCTAAATTTTAAATAGGTATTATTAATAATCCATTAAATTAAATTTATATAGAAACAAAATAAATAATACATATTAATTGCCACTGTTGTCAGTTGTCGTTTAAGATTGTTTAAAAATATTAAATCCTACGTCAAAAATAATCAAAATTTATAATATAGGTACATTAGTCAATAATAAGGATGTTAATAACACAAAATATAATTAAATTATAATAATATTAAAATAATCATACAGTTATTATAAATTGATTCCCCGAAATTTATAAGAAATTTTTTTTAAGTATTCTATTTTATTTAAGTGTTTTCCTCTGTACTCATTCCACGCTTCATAAGTATGTTGTATTTTTTCTTTTTCTTCTTTACGTCGTGATTTTATTTTACCCTTCTTGATTTCATTTATTTTTAGATATGATTCTACTTGTATAAGTTTTAAATTTTCAATTACACTAGTCAATGGAGGATGAGGTGAATAAAATTGGGAGTTAAAGTGCTTGTGAAATGATTCAGCGCAATTTGTGGTGCGAGGTGCGTCTGTTGGAGGTTCAGCTCAAATTGATGGTGGAAATGGACATCCTTTAATGATATAGTTATTAAATACATAATCAGAAAATTCGGATAAATTTGTCAAATTGAAATCTGGAGTTAAGTTTTGTAAATCAAAATAAGCATCTTCCACTTCATTTGACGGTAAAAATGGTAACCCAAAAAATAATGTTAACCATTTAGCGATATCGCATGACTGATTCTTGTACAATTTTTTAAGATCTGACAAAGAATTTATTTTTCGGTACCAAGATTGACCTAAATGAAATCTTATTTTGCTGTCTGGAAATACATTTAGAAATGCTTTGTGTGCTGCGATTTCAAAATCTAAATGGATTGATAATGGTGTAAAATTTTTTTGTAATTTATTTGTACATAAATGGCAAATAAAGTTCCACATAGCCCGATAACATTCAAATGATTTTGATGGTAAAAATACAATAACAAGTGGTATATAAAATCCATTTACATATATATGAATACCATACATTTGATAAAAATGTGATGGTCTATAAGTAAAAGTACCATCACCAAAAATATCAGAATAGTTGAAATCGCATAAAAAATTTAAATTCGTTTTACATGTAATCAAAATAATATTATTTACATTATCAACATATGTAAACTCTTCGTTTTTATTTGTTAAAATTACTAAATTAGAAATCTGTTCAATTGCTTCGTTGAGTGATTTAGGAACTGAGGGTAATATTTTTCGACGTTCACGGTATATAGACTTTCTGATATTATGAACATCAGAATTCTTAGCGGTGCTGCACGTGGAAAGCTCTGTACGTATTATTTTATTAGGTCGTAAAGTTAAATCTTCACACGCTTTTCTTTTACACCTACCTTGAACGTCCAGTAAGTTTAAATTTTCTTCAGTTTCCGGATCATGGGTATGGCTGTATTTAATTTCGGTTAACTTCGTTTTTGAACTATTGGTTTTGACATACGCACTACAGGTTTTTTTTACACAACGCCAACTTATATCTCCAGAAATAAGGGTTCTACTCACGTGATATTTAAAATAACGAAAAACTAAACAAAGTTTTTGTTTACTTGAATTAGTTATATAAAATTCCATTATAGTAGTACTCACTATTCATGTACTGATGCAACTGACACATATAAAATACAACTGATAAATGCATTTTTATATAATATAATCTTTATCGATTGGGATTTTACAATTTCGATTAGCACGACTAACGACAAAATATTATTATCTTTATCGATTTTGATATTGGTTTCGATTAGATTGGGAAACGATCAAATATTATTTTAGATTTTATAGTTACACGCCAATATACTCAATAAATGGCAACGTTGCACGATTTTCACCTGATCTGAATCGGGCGCATATGGGCTATGATTTGGGGCGCAAATGGGCTACGATAAATGGGTTCGAGCGCAAATGGATTGCGCCGGTAAACTCCATCAGTTTTTTTCTTACCTGTAATGCAGTGCATTTTATAAGGAATTTTCACTGGGCGACAAAAAACATTTTTCTCAAAATAGTCAATGTAATACCATAGTACGATTATAGTCTAACACGTTTGTTTTACATTATTTCGCTCAATCTTTCAAAATATTGTCGACAAAGTATAATCACTGGACGACATATGTGTCACTTAGTTAACTAGTTAAAAAATGCACTGTTGTAATGGGTATATGTAAACTCCTCCAGTTTTTTTTTTTGTTTACCTACTCAGTGTTTACATTGCCACGTGCCTTCTCACATTAAATATGTTGAAATCTATTGCGATGATGTTACATTTATTTAAATTGATAAAATTATTGTCATGGTTCGATTCATTTCAAGGTGGATATATGTATAACTATATGTTTATACCTTCATTTTAATTGTTTCAATACATTAAACATAATATTTCGGTTCAAAATACAATATGCCTAATATATACAAATGAATGAGTAATATTTACATCTAAATTATAATATAATCTAATAAAATTGAAATATTTGAAATATAAAATCTAAATAACATATTTTCATGAAGAAGAGAAGTACAAACGGCAATTGAATTTGATAGTTAGTTATAAAACATTTATACTTAATATCTGATAAATTAATACAAAATTCATTAGATAAATGGGTAACATTTTTAGTATAAACACCAATTTCAGAATAATGCATATTTAGAATTGGGATAGAGTCAATTGTATCAGTAAACTTTTTTACAATAAAATAAACATGTTTATCAAAAGCTTTCACTGCATTAATAGCAGATATAATACTATTATCTTTTAGCACTAAATATATATATATATATATTTTTTGAATATTTGAATATTGTAAAATAATTTTTTTATAAAGTTGTTATTGGCACTGAATAATAAAGAAAGAGTATTATTTTCTAGTACTTTGAAAATTAAAAGATACTGAGACAAATTTTTTAAAGTATCATTATTGTGTTTATCTTTGATTCGATTAAAGGTTTCTTGTAATGGTATTTAGCTGATTTAATAGATTTTTTAATTTCTTGTAAATAATTCTAATATCTATAGTGCTGAAACTATCTAATGGGCCATGAGTATTAACAAAAATTGGAAGATGGATTGAACTGTGAACGTTATACGTAAACAATTGTGAACCATATAAAAAACCATAATCAACATTATGGTTATTATTATCAGTGGCGTTTCCTGACTTTCGGCGTCAGGCGTTAATGTGTGATTGATTAGGACCCCCCCCCCCTTATGAAAAATAAATTCTTATCAAATATTAACATATTATTATTATTTATTTTACATACTTTTTAAGTTTTTAAAAATACATAAAATATTTATAAAATTAAATTATACAAACTGAAAATGTTTTAATAAATATATTCTATTATAGATTGATTTTTATTTGAATTCAAATTCTATTCTTCTCTCTTTCTCAGTAAATTTGTTTATAACATCTTCATAAAATTTATTTCTGTTTGCTCTTAATTTGAAAACCAATACTTTTTCTATTGATATTACACTTAAGCTGTTCATTCTTTCTTGTGTTTGAGTTGAGCGACAATATGTATGGATTCTTTTTAAAGATGAAAATGATCTCTCCACTGAAGCGGTTGATGTTGGTATAGTAGATATTAATTGAGCCAACTTATACACCTCGGAAAATCCACTGTTTAAGCTCATTTCAGAAAGATAATTCATAATTTCAATAGGGCTTTTATCGGATGATTCGTTTAAGGTGTACCATACATGAAGTTCATTTTGTAGTTAACATAGTTGAAAAAATCGCCATAAATACCTAAGAGCCCCATGTTCCTCCTCTTAGCACCATGCCTGTCTACAGCTATCTAGAATAAACAAATCTATAGTTAAATTTCTAAGTTTAAATTTTTAAAAATGAAATTTTTAGACACCTAAATACTTAATAGATAATTTTTGACAATTTACGTTGAAATACATTGTTTTAAAAAATTACTATATGATGAATTTTGTACATATATTTCAATTCCTGATTTTTTTTTTCAGAGTCAAAATCTTATCATGATAAAATAGAAAAACATGCGAGTTAGACAAAAGTAGCGACATCTTGCTTGGCCTTCTAGGCCTTTTCAAATTTAATGGGTGTACCCAATAACGTCTTCTGTTTGTTTTTCATTTTTGCATTTTGTGTTTTTTGTATAAAACGTAAGCAACACATGTCGCTTCAATATCATTAAACCGATCCATCATAGATGTAAAAATAACAATTTTGAAAAAAAAAAAATTAAGTTTCGAGTTTCGACTTCCCTCGACCACGTTGTAATTTGAACTGAACAATGACCAGACCGTATGGACTATGATTGTAAATATGTTTTTGCGCATTTTTGGTAAAGAAAAACGCGCTTAGAACGCAGGTACGCTCTTCTCGTGTGAATACTTAAAGTGTTCGCGTTTCGATATGCGGCGTTTTAAAAACGCGAAAATGCAGCGTACGAAACGCTACGTGTGTAACCAGCTCAAACGTTTAGTGGGTGGGCAATGACGATCGACGACGGTGTCATTGCCACAGTTTATAAGATAACTGATAAGATAAAATATTTCATATCATTTATAAATAGCACTCGCAATACTTCTAGGTAAAACAGATCGAATTACCAATAACACAGTGCATGTCAAAATTATGTACGTGTGTACTAGAAACAAATTTAAAATTTAGAAATAAATCAAATTGTATTATTTAGTATTTTGATTCAAAGCTAATTTTAATATTTTTTTGTTCGAGTCGACGAGATAAATATTAAAAACATTTTAAGAAAAACAAAATGTAAAATTATGATATTTTGTAAATAATGTAATCTATAAGAATTTGGGGCCCTTAAAATTTTGGAGCCCTGGGCCCATGCCTTGAAACGGCACTAATTACCATCCATAAGAGTTAGGGATTAAGTTTGCCAAATATTTTGTTAAATGTTGATAACTCAAAATTTTTGTATGGTCAAGCATACATGACTGTCTCCAGGATGACGAGCTTCCAGGGAGTTCACTTAATTAATTTTGATCCCTGTCAGGTGAAAGCTAAGAATAGTGTCATTGTTGAATATAACCATCTAAGAACTTTGTACAGGCCAGACTTAACAGACATTCCATCTAAAAAGTATCTATGACGAAAAATAAAAGACCGTAGTTGGCTATCATTGCCTGTTATTGACAACGATCAAGAGTCCAATTTCTCAGCTCCTCAACAGAAATCCAAACGATCTTAAAAGAGAAGATCTACGACATGTAAAAAAAAATAATAACAACACGTCGTCTACAATACTAAAGCCCGCAAAAATAAATGATATCCCAAAAAAAAACCTAACAGTGAAAAAAGGCAAAATTCCAAACTTCATCCCAAAAAAGTCGGTTTATCAAAGTATTGAAATCTACATTGCGGCCAAGTCTAGTTTATACCTCATTCAGAAACTGGCCAAGTGTTAAACAGTACAAATAAAAGAGGAGTGTTGTTCTTTAATGTAGGAGTGCAGTGAGGTTATGAATTAAAAATTACAAGACTTGACCACAGTATAGATTTCACTACTTTGATAGGCCGACTTTTTTGGAATGGAGTTTGGAACTTGGCCTTTTTTCACCGTTAGGTTTTTTTTGGGATATTGATTTTCATAGACATAAACTTTCGAACATGTGACCGTTGAATAGGTGACCGGCATACCGCGGCATCCGTTTGTATTTTAAAATACACCACATAGTAAAGTGTTGAGTTCGAAGTTAAGTACCGAAAAGAATAGGAAAAATGTAATTTCCAGTTTTGTTTGTATTAAACTTGAAGATGAGTCAAATGTAAGTTATTCATCATCTATCCTATGTATGATTACTAATTAGTAATGATCAATATTTTAACTTTTTTTTTTCTATGTTTTTAGAATATCAACAATCAAAAAAAAAAAAAAAAAAAAAAATGTGTAACTGTCTGAAAGAAATTGATGATAGATTTAAATAAGAAATATCGAATTTAATAATCCGATGGTCCGTTGGTCAACTAATTAATTTAGAGTTGAATAGAACTCATTTTGTACATACATACTTAACAATTTGCTAAATGTTCAAACTTAAGAGCTTCTTGTAGAAATTAATCTTTTAAAAAGTATTGAAGGTACATCCAAGGGTCGTCATCGGATTTATATATATATATATATATAAGTGATTTGATTGGTTGGCAGTGGGAGGAAGATCAGATAATGTCCAGAAATTTCATAGTTGTCTAATATATTTTGTGGTTATACTAGTGACGAGTCATGGATGTGGAAGAAATTTTTCCAAAATATATATACCTAGTAAAAATAAAATTAAGAATTGCTTTATTGTTTTAATTTATTAAACAAGAGTTTTTGAGTAATATTAATGTTGAAAAAGTTATTGATGATTTTAAAAATGTTCCAACAAAAAGAAGACTTATTCTTTGAAATATGTCTTATACTCTTATAATATTATAAAGTATAGTTTTTTTTTTTTTTTTTATATTTTTATATTTTAAGGCGTACAATCTGTAAAAATTATTACAATAAGTACACATGCGGTAATATGTATTAAAGCTTGAATAACATGATAAAAGCAGCCACCCAATGGCGGCACTTTATGACATGATTAGGTTGGATTTAAATTTACCTTTATATATTTAGCTAATTGATATTTAAGTCTCTACACCATTTTCTCTTCAGTCGACGAAGAGGGTTACCAGGAATGGTGTCGGAATCTAGAGCAGAGATGAGTGGATTGGAGTGGTTTGACAGTCGGGAGCGGAAACGTTTATAAAAGATTTTGGCAGTTTCTTCTATCGTATTCATTTTTAAATCTGTATGGAGAGTGTGATTAGAAACGTAAAATGGGGCATTTGTGATTAAACGGAGTGTTGTAGATTGGAAAATTTGAA